AAGTATATATTCTGGGATTCTTTTCTAATTATTCTTTATTCCCAGTATTGATGAGTCATTAGGAGATTGTGAGACAATCACGTTATGTTCTCTTGCATACAGGACACAGACATTTCAAACGGCAAAATGGACACTTCACTGTGCCAAATCATACCACGACTTACTGCAACATTCTCTCTGAAGCCATTATTTACTACATCATAGTCTGGTTTGGAATCTTTAATTCACGACTTTTGTTTTAGTATATGAAATCTTGACACAATGGACCATAAGGAACTCTATTATGCAGAGGCTCTCTCAGGAAGGTATCTTACTAGCTTGCAATTCATTGGTAGGATGACTCTTTACACTTTTAAAGCCCTTTGCTCTATATCTACTTTAAGTTCTCTACCATCACATGCCAAGATCCCTACACAATAGCATTGGTAAAAGGAAAAAAATTATGAGCAATGAAGTTGATCCCCAAAGGGTTCATCTGTCACCATTTAACATCCGCCCCATTTTCTTAAGTTCGGGAAGAAAAAACGGTACATGAGATGTTAGCAAAAATGCCTTGCCTGCATTTCTTGAAGCAGCCTGCATTTCTGGAAGCAGATAAAATATATATTTTAAAAACTTGATATCTGTTAAATAGTTAAGGATGAAAATGATTAAAATTGCCCCTTATGCCTCATCTGATTTTAATGGAATTAGAAAAAGTATGTATCAACATGGGTCACTTTGACAAAATAGCACTTCCTATGAGCTTGAAAATAAAAACACTGACAATGATCCAAAACCAATACTGTAGATTTTAGCTTACCTTATTTCTTAAGCTGCACTGCTAAATATTTACTCTTCATTTCATAATAAAATAATCTCCCTCTGCCCTTCAAGTAACAGTGTAAGCAAGAATCACATACCCTAACTACCTGAAACACAAGCATTGAACTTGCCCTGCTGCTTAAATGGCTCCCTCTTAGTTCCTTAGAAAAGGGATGCTATGTCAAGTTTTATAATTATAACTTGAGAAGGAAAGAATATATCTGAGGGGAAAAAATTCAAAACACCTATACTGCCATCTTTTGTTGTACAGAGTTTCCTTTATACACAGTGAACAAGATCCTCTTTGTATAAAATGGAATAACTCCACACAATATAAAGTTAGTTTTTTGGAACTTTACCCATGGATACCTGCTGGTGATTTGGTCCAAAAGGCTTGAGTTGCAAGACTGCTGCATGTGACCAAATCCCCACTGTTTGTTTCTGTCACTATAAATATAACCAATGGAAATGTTAATCTTTAATATGTAGCAAGTAAAAAAAAAAAAAAAGTTATTGGGCAGAGAGGTTGTGAAATAGTAGGAGCTGTATATATTTTATAAAAATAAGTACATTACCTGGTATCAAGCAATTCAATTTATATTTGAAGGGTGATAAGATGGTATGTATCTATTCATAGCAGCACATTTTAGATATATGAATATCTACTTTACCCACATTTTATCATCTAAATTAAATGAACATGAATATAGACTTTTTAATATGAAAATATGATGTGCTTTGATACTTCATTTCATTTTGTTTATTTATAACACATACAATGTAAAAAAAAGAGTCTTCAAATGCAGGATTTTCAAATCATATTCTGCTTTGCATCTTTAAGTTTTGAAGATGAAACGTTTGGGAGCACAATTCGTATACAAGCTATAGAGCAAAGGAGGGTACAGTTTTAAATAATTATGTCAAAGAAATGACAACTGTACTCTTTGCAGGAGCAGGGATGAATAATTACAAAGCTGGGACATAATTAAGCAATTTTGACTGTCGTATTCTTGAGCTGTCGTTCTGATGTGAAGTGCTGTCATGCCCAGAAACACATTTCACACTGGACAGGCATCTTCCACTTTGATCTACTCTTATGCCAGTGAAATGAGGTCATGGTTTGGTCACTAAACGAGGCTTCTTCATCTGGCTCAATGCCTCTTATCCAGCCAGGCTTACATGATTTTTATTAAAATCAGACATGATACAACGTTCAATATTTTGACAAAAGAAAACATAAACACCACAGAATAATGAAGTTTAGCTCACTTACAAAGAGAGATGGAACAGTGCATTGTAACATTAAACTGTTTTCTAATAAATGACTGCATCTTTCCATAAGACAGTCATATCACAAACAGATGCATTTTAAACAAAGGATGAAATGAAGCAAAGCATAAGAAAATGCAGTGCTCTGTTAAAAAATATGAAAAAATAGAGAAAAATGAAAGTCTAAAAATTTATACAAAATAAAATATTTATGACTTAGTGATGACTGGTGATTGCTATATACTTTTGCATTTGAGTAAACACAAGCTAGTCAGATGGAAATTTCTTGCTTTTATTCTCATTTTGTGTATTTTTTCTTGGTGGGGTATTTTGCTCTCCCAAGTATTTTATGTCAAGACTAAAATGAAAACAACTCCCCACATCACAGCCTCTTTAGATCATCAGTCTGCTTTTTATGCTGAATAAGCCATACCATCTCCTGCTTACCATAATGGCGGGGAGGGAACTAACTTAGATTTAGATTTTTTTTTCTGATATAGCAAACCTGACAGGTTCACTGTAGATTTTACACCTGGCAGAACAATATTTCCTTGTGACATCCACAAATATGACCGTTAATCACCCCAGCTCCGCTCCTGGCAAGCATATTCTTACATAGTGGCTACTACCACAGGAGGAGGCAGGAAAGGATTCTCAGGAAGCTTGTAATCAACGGGGTCTCGTATCACTATGTTAACTTCTTAAGGAGTTTTTCTGATGCCTAATACAGGGTGCACTTAGTCTTCCTCATATTTGCAACAAACGGGCATCTTCTTCTAACTACTTTTAGAAAGCCTGGGAAATATTAATATTTTTGATAATACCACCTCTGCATTAAATTTGGCCGAAGCTGGTCAAAAAGCTCAATAATTATTGGGGAGGGGAATTGATGAACAAAGAGGGCACAAGATTCATTTCCTAAGGAAACCTGAAGGTTGAAGAAGAAAAATAATTACATATTTAGGATGTAATATATGATAGAATTTGAAAGCACAGTTACTGCGCTCATCATCTGTGTGACATATAGAGGAATGCTGCTTGTTATGGTCTTTGACTATATCTATAAATAGAAATATACATATATCTGCATCTGTAAACATACATGCACAGAGCAGTCTTTGTGAGTGTTCTCACACATAAAGAGAGTTTGCGTGCGTATATACTGTGACCATGAATATCCTAGGAAATGAGCACAAATTCAAAACAATTTTAAGAGATTTATAATATCTGCTCTGAACCCAATTTAATATTTATTTTAAATTAGCCACTTCTGTAATGTTTATATAATATTATATAATGATAGTAATTTTGTAGCACCTTAAGAGGCATTAATCCATGCCATGAAAAAGCATTTACAATGATTTTGCTATGCTAGGTACCATCAGCAATTTGTACTGAACCATTTATAAAGAAAAAAACCCTTCAGACTGGCAATAACAACAGTAAATTTGAGCCTTTTGCAAATTTGCTGAAATAAATGTGTGTTTTATCATAAGACTTAGTGGGTAAATAAGACTGAGTGGGTAAATAATTCAAAACCACACAAAGGATTCAATTACAGATATAAAAGACAATGATGCTATCCCTACCTCTGTGAAGTAATTTACCGTTAACTATTGACTTAAAAAGAGGTTCCATCCAGAACAGTAGATTCAAGTTCAAGAAACAGCCACCTTTTTTCTCTTACACTATTAAGCTGGTCAGCTCAAACAGCAGACTCATAAATGAAAAATCTATTTGCCAATAAAATTAAAATAACACTTCACCAGATCTAAAAGCTGGATAGAAGCATTATAAAAGCAGACAGTATACATGTACTAACAAATTTCAACTGTAGAATTTGGCCAAGTTTAGTAAAGAAGGTTTGCTGTGAAGAAGACAACCTCAACAGCTTAGAAATACATGATTTTGTTTATTATATATATAAAAGCTGAAATAGCTAAAGGCAGTGGTAAACAATATATCTAACCCATGCTTATATCAGAATTGTTAACATTTTAATAGTTATAAATGAATCAGTCTGAATTAATTTGCTATGCATTGCAATTGTACTTGTGATAATGCATTTATCTAGCAACACTGTTACGCTACCAAACAGTGCATTTCCATAACTGCTACATTATTATTCAGCATTATTGGAAACCTGCACTAAATTATTGATGGTATATTTTAGAGAACAAAACAGCAAATTGGAAGCAAGTAGACTGAAAACTTGAGTGGAGTTTTAAGAGATCTCTATCTGCAGCACTAAAACACTTTGTGAAGCTCGGAGTGCTGTTATCTTGCATTGATCAACAATGGAAAAAGGAAGTAACCTGGGGAAATCACGTTCTCATTCTCTTTGCATCAGCAGTACGCAGTATGCCCAAAGTTGATGCAAACGGTACCTTTTAAAGCTCAGATTACAGAAACTGTCTCTCTAATGTCGTCAACGCTTCTTAGCATGACACCACATTAAATGACATCATACAAAATTAGAATTAGCCAGTCCACAAAAAGCCAATATTACACCGTAAGTGAGAGCTCTGCAGTAGACATTTAGGTATAACATACATGGCAGGAGACAACTTGCCATAAAAATTGCATTCTTCCACAATAGCATATCACATATTTGTTATATATCTTTAAACAGCGCAAAAATATTCTTTTGAGTTCAGTGGCACATACTAGTTACTTTTCGAGATGAAACAGACATTAGAACCCAAAATTTGGTAACACAACCACAGTCCATTAACCAGATGTAACAATAAAGTTTGATATCAAACCATACAAAACTTACTAAGGCTTTTGTCCCTTACCTGACCGTATTTACCAGTCTAAAAGGTTTTGTCTATTGCTTTCGCAAAAGATGGAGCCAAACTTTCAGAGTAAATTAAAAATGGTATTAACGAAGCACATGTTGCTACCATTTCCATTTAGTCTCCTACCTTAGCATCCTTGGGCTTAACCACTTTCATGAAGGCACCTCTTACCAAGGCTTCCTCTCTCTCACTGTTGGTTACTTTCCGAGTATCAAGAAATTTCAGGTTTGTCAATTTGTGCAGGACAAAGTATCTGACAGATGGTAAAATGCACAAAGTTAAAACCCAGTAATAAACAAAGATATATTCACATATTAAATGACTAAAAAATAGCAACAATAAACAGCAGTGACCTTTGTTTCCTCTGTCTATTAACCCTTTCCATGGAATCCAGCTTACAGTAAAAAAAAAATACTATACTTACTGTCTCAAATGAAACTATTCAGAACTTCCCCATGATAATTTACCACTGGGTGGATCAAACAGATTAGAAAACGATCACTATAGACACATATACCCTCTGTGGACATTACTGAGGTATAAGGCATGCCCAGAAATAAAGTAAATCGGAAATTGTTTTCTGAGAATTCTTTCTGAGAAGATAGCTGGAAGTTCCCAGTGTCTTAGATTTGTTTTCACCTGCAACGCGGGATGGAGTTCTTAGAACTACTCAGAAGTTCCTTTATCCAAATCAACAATTCCAAACAATTTGCAAACATATCTTCAGATTTTTATTACATTTTCCTAAAAACACAATGATCAGCAACATTAGAGACGCCATATGAATAGCAATCAGGGAGTGCAATTTGTTTTCCACCACGCATCCTCAAATATATTCTCCTTTATCTTGAAAGGAACGTATCTCAGTGTTCAAAACTCTTAGCATTAAAAACAAGAATCCGTCAAGGGACAGCACTGCGAGTTACTCCTAGGATCTGCTTTCAAGGACTAAATTTAGACACAGGCACTATTTGGAAGAAGAATTCCAATTTGTTCCTACCTGAACAACAAGGCTTCCTTAAGGCATAAGGATCCCAGGTCAGAATTAAATGAAGTATGCAGGTACCTACCACCTTTTTTCAAGTACTCAAAGTTCTCATTAGGGTCCATCAGTATTCTATTCTATGCTATTCTCTCCTACGCTTTTCTATTCTACTTTATTCTCTCAAAACTCAGCAGTTTTTTTAGCCTCAAAGAATACCATTGGCTCCTTGCATGCAGAGGGAGAGAACATGGCAGACCAGAAACAAAATAAGGGGCACAACCATGGTAAATCAAAATATCTAGCCACCTCAAGTGCATATTATTTACATTCAGTCAACCAAATGTGAAGCAGACATTGCAAAGTGAGGAAGTGCCAGACTCTTCCTAGCAGGAGGTAGAAGGGTGATTGATAATATTTCCCATGCCTAGCTGCTTTTCATAAACCTCTAGTCAATCACAGAAACGCTCCTAACCATATCAACCCCTTCTGGCACTGGGAAGAAATCAAAGTAGTAAAAAACTCTGCATAACATACCTTAAAGTATTTTGAAATAAAACACACTAAAAAATTGTGGTTTTAAAGGTGTGAGTTACCTTTTAATGCTGTTCTCAAGATCAGATAGACATTTGAAAAAGATTTCAAGTCTGTCTTTCTACAACCAAGCAAAATTTAATGCTGCAAAGAATCCTTTCAGTCAAGCACACCTTTCCTCTGAGGCAATGGCCTCATAAATCGTTAACAAGTGAACTGAAGATGATGGGTGACACACTCTGAAGTTGCAGACAATTGAAATGTGAATCTTCAACCTATGCCTTTCAATGATATATTAATAATAATTAATAATAATAGCAGTCACTTTACAAAACAAAACATGTTCTGAAATCATTTGTTCAGGGATAGCTCCAGATCTAGGAGACAGGCACCCTCCTCCCGGCTTTCCTGTGCAGGGCTCTCTGCCGTTCTGCTGGCCCTTATCTTTCAGGGGGAGAGAACATATCCATCCTGTGTGTTACCGGCAGAAAAGCTCTGATGAGAACAGATTCTTTCAAATGAAGACATGTACAGAAGGAAACAATATGTCAAGAGTGAGAAGAGTGAAGCTCAGAATGAGTAAAAACACCCACTAAGTGTAGGGTGAGAAAAGATGAATATTCAGGTGAAGAAAACATCGGTATTAGAAAATCAGCAAATGTTTAATGACGGAATGAAATATGCCACCGAAAAGCAGGCTGCAACAAAAATGACAACAGACTAAGACAGCACTGTTGTCTTTGCCGACTTTGGATCACAGCCCTAATGTCAGTCTCTCAATCACATCAAAAAGAGCTTAAAATTACAATGGCATTTCTAGATACAAATGTATTTTTGTATTTTTAAGCCATCCTGACTGCACTTCACATTAAAACATAATTAGCATCAGTAGTTGCTAAATCCAGAAATAAAATCAAAAACCGTACCCATGTAAACTAAAGAGCAAACTACATCACAAGCCAGAGGTCTAGGTTTTTTTTTGTTTTGTTGTGTTTTGTTTTTAACTTGTGCTTCTCAGCAGGACAAATACTGAAAAGTAAATGCTATTGAAGTTATCCCATCACTAGATCAAGTTATTTCAGTAATTAATTATTTTAAAAGGTGATTCAAAACATATACTCAAACTCCTTTTGCTTAATAAGGCATAAAATGAATCTGTATTATATGACTAGTACGTATTTTTTTCCCCAATGTCTAAAGACAAACATCAGACTTCCTGGATATATTTTAACTAGAAATATGAAGATGCGGCTTCAATCTAAATGTAACACCACCTTGCCATAAAAATACAGGAAAGGATTACCAAAGCCCTGGAATGAACACTTTACAATATCAATTCAACCCTTGTAAATTTAATCCAGGGTTATTTGTTGCACAAAATCTCTTTACTGTGATGTATGACTTAGTTACTAAGGTTATCACAGCAGTATCCTAAAGTTGCATAGTACATAAAACATTTCAGTTAACAATGCAGGGAGGTTAACTCCCACAGATAACCTACTATCAGAAGGTTAGACCAGATGACATGCCTCTGTCAGCTTTCAGGAGCTATTGATGGTTCAATCAGTTTGTTTTGAAGGTAAAGTACAACAAAAGGGCACTAAACTTATTCAAACTGTCAACAGGGACTATCTTAGAATGTTGCTTGCAGGTAAGTAATTTTGGGTGTTTTAAGACTATTATCAAACACCGATGGCTGCAGAAACAGACAGCTACTAATAACACAGAATGCAGCCATCATAAAATACTTTATGGCAGGCACTAGGATCTATAAATTGCGTGACACATTGCACCTGTGTTGGACTTATAACATCACTAGTTAAGGAAATGCTTTTTAATGAGAAGATCCATCTAAATTTTATACTCAAAGGAAAGGTTTATTTTAGTTTGGAGGTCAGGGGCAGCCTCCCCTCCCCTTTTATATATTTTTTTTAAACAATTTGAAACTTAGCACTGTTCCAGGTGCTCTGAGACTGCTGTTACAGGGCTTAACATCTTTGCAGTGGTGTGAAAGAAGGCTATTATCTGTAGTGATGAGGAAAAAGATCAACTCTAGAGAGAGAAAAAAGCAGGGACCCCAGGAAGGTGCTTACAGACCCATTTATCACTGCCTGTAAACTGATCTTCTAATCCATGATGGACGAAGGAAACGAACTGTGTAAGAAAACTTGCATCTTCTTTTGTCCAGAGTCATCTCTTATCCCTCCTCCCCCACTACCCTGCACCAAGGGGCCTGTGAAAATAAGCTAAAAAAAAAAAAAAAAAAAAAAAGGGAAATCCACAACACAC